CACGAATACTAGTTTGCTTGGGCTAGCAGAGGTAGTTGTGCGTGGCTCAGTGGCGGGGGGGGGGGAGTAGGTTACTTTATCTGGTTTGAGCTCTTAAATGATCTGTTTCCTATGAGATTTATTGTAACTGTGGGGCAATAAAGAGACAATGACAGACATGTGGCACTGGTAACTCAGCCAAACAACTTCTGAATCTTTTAGTGGAAATAAATTAACTGGTGTTACTATGGCAGATCTTTGTTGTTTGACAATTGTGCATTCATCAAAATTGGGCCTTTGTGCCTTTTAGAATGGTAAATATTTTTAATATATAATGTCCCACAGATTTATTTAACTATTAGTAGCAGTGGGGATTTCAAAATGGGGGGGGTATGAAAGAATTAATGAACTGAGAATCAAACACTTTCAAGGAGATACATATGCTTGTTACATTCAATCTTATTTTTATTTTACTGCAGACGTTGCTTCTGTTTGTATACATCATATTATCAGACTCGCAACTGCACACACTGTAGGCATAAAGCCATTCATGTGTGTAACCATACCATTTATGTGCAACATGGGCAATGGCAGCATTTTAACCAAATAGTTACATGTTTAAGCAAATGTACTATAGTATATACATCACATCAATTGCAGCTAACCTAAGCAGTGACTCACCTCCCTAAGTCATGCTATATGCAATATGTATATTTGTAAGTACACTATATGTATAAATGTTTGTGTGTGGAGGCATGAATTTGTGTATGTGACGCCAAAAGTGGCTTGCTTAGATTTTAAGCAAAGAAATGGATCTGAATTCCAGAGGTGTCACTTGTAGTTTCCAAAGAGACTCCTCTCTGTAGTTATTAAATAATGTTTTTATCCTGAAAAAATGCTGATGTTACCAGCATTTCTTTCTGAGTCAGATTATGGTCTGTTTTTTTAGTGCCAAGGATTTGTCATTCTAAAAGAGAGTCAGATATTTTACTGGTTAGAAGAATTTGATCTCTGTAATCAGTACAGGCATACTGCTCAAAACTGCTTGTGATTAACATTGAAACATGTATATCATTTGTTTTTAAAAAGGAATCTATGGGTCTGATTCACCACTGCCTTTGTTCCTTGTGATGGGGGGCATACAACACTACCTTTCTGACTTGGTAGAATTTTGTGTATGATTTGTACTCATTTTACACAGATGTAAATACATTTTCCATGAGGTACTGTGAATGATCAGATCCAATATATTAGAAGGAGGGAGGATAAAACTGAAACAGTAAAACCTCAAAAGACAGTCTTTCTGAATACGCATTATCTCAATGAAAACCCACTTACAAAAAGAAAAGGAGTACTTGTGGCACCTTAGAGACTAACCAATTTATTTGAGCATGAGCTTTCGTGAGCTACAGCTCACTTCATTTTGCGAATACAGACTAACACGGCTGTTCCTCTGAAACCCACTTACAGTAACTCAAATTATGAAACCTTCTGTATAGAGACATTGAATGAAAGACCCAAATGCTTTGCAGTGTGCAAATTGCAATTTCTTTTACAGCAAACTGATTCTTATAGTGAAGTTGATGTGTCAGGAAATGATTTCATTATAAAGGAATATTGCTATCATTTAATTCAAGGCTTTCCTGTCCCTCCCCACCTTCCCTGAATGTCTCCAAAACCTGAGAAGGGGAAAAGAAAGAAAAGCAAAAGTGAAGAGGTACTAAGAGGGAGGTGAAATGGTAGAAGAGGAAAGGAAAATAAATATTTTCAGCCAGTTTAAAGGACATTATCAAAAGATTTATATTTTTAAAGTCCTCCTCAACCATTCCTCTTACTTTGGACTTTCCCTCTCACCATAGTCAAAGTGATGCTGAAGTTTTTAATAGCACCAAACTTGTATCTAGTGTTGTTTTTATGTATTTTATTAATATATATTTTTAATATTCAGTACACACACACACACACAACCACTTAAAAGTCAGGCCTGGGACACTCAGTATTGCCAGGTTATAAGCACTATGGTCTCGCTAAGCATATGCTTTTAAGTGCTTTGCTGAAATAGGGACTTAAGTATGTGCTCTGTTCAAGCATGAATATTCCATTAAAATTCATGTCTGGAGTGCTCAGCACCTTGTATTATCAAAGTCAATATGAATATTAATTGTTTTTGAGAAACTTTTTGAGTGAGAAATGAAAGTGAGAAACCAGTGCAGTTAAGTGCTGTTGAAAGCTCCTACCAAGCTTTGTACAGTAGTTTGTTTAGAAAAGCCACTGTTTTTTCTTGTGACTGTACTTCTTTAACATTCACATCTCATTTAGGCCCTAATTCAGGAAAGCATGCTGAAGTGTTCATGTGCTTAAATATTTAAATATTTTCCTCAGTTGAGGGCCTAATTTTGCTGCGTCTACTGAACTTATTTTTCCTGTCACTTTTTATTATGCCCTTCCCCCACCGCCCACCTTTTCCAAGTGAAAGTGGTCAGTTAGCCCACATGGCAGAGTTAAATTTCACTTAGAAGAAAAAGAAAATATCCACCTGGCAAACTTTTTTTTTTAAAGGTGCGTGTGGGGTGGGCTACATAAAATACATGTGAAATATTGCTCTGTTAAAAAAAAGTTATATTGAACCTATCTTTAACTGTAAGAGTAATATAAATAAATTTTACTGGAATTATTATAAATTATTAATGCAGGTAGGTTTTTTTTTTAATATTTCCTTAATAGTCTTGATCTGTGTTCTTTGTTTATGCCAAACTGCCACTGAAGTCTGAGAGATTTGGATACTCAAGGAATGTGTGGTTAGGCCTTTTGTAGGCTTGATCCTGGAAACACTTATCTATGATTAATTTTCCTTAAATGTGTTGTCCCCTTGAAGTCATTGAAGTCTCACGTGAGTAAAGTTACATGCATATGTTTTTGCAGGCTCAGGTTCCATAGAGATAATTGAGATTCTGCAAAAGTAATACTCGATCCTGCAAGGTTCTGAGCATTCTGGCCCCAATCCAGCAAAGCACTTAAGCACATACTTAATATTAAAACATGAGGAATCCAACTGAGTTATAAAAATAAAATGCTCAATATTGCAAGATGCTGAACATTCCAAGTCCAGCAAAGTGTTTAAGCATCTTGCAGAATTGAGCTCATATATAGTACTGTTGATTAATATACTACTTGTATGCACAGGAGCCTCTTTTAGTCTTTTGTGTTTTGTTATTTAATTAGTTGAAAGGATTTTCAATCTTGTACAGTTGAAAAGCTATATATCTGGTATTAATGTCTGACCCAGAGACAAATTGTGTTAAACATCATCTGTAGTACTTGATTCATTGTCAGGGAGAGGACTATGCCTTTTTTTTCTTTTTGCCATTTCAGTGAGAATGCAGCAAGAATTAGGGGGAGGAAAAAAAGATATTTTAAGTCTCCCTATGTTTGCCGCATTTTTATATACACCTGGTGATACTTGGTTTGGTCACCAAATATTGTGTCTTGCTGGCCAACAGGGAAAAGAGTGAAATGATTTTATATACTTCTTTTAATGTTCACATTAGTTTTCAAAATGGTTTTGCTTCCTAACCCTACCATTATACTGAAGCCTCTCACTTTGAAAGTCACAGACTGCGGACTGGTAAGTCCATTGGCTATTTGTAATTGTAATCATTCATAATTTTTATGTACAGTAAGCATCCAATCATATTCCTGTTTATACATTATATATGCATATATATTATCTCTCTAATTCAAGCACTCCCAGTCTGGGAGAAGTTTTATATTTTTGTTTAACTCTCATTATTTCTTTTATTCACCAACTGAAAAGGATAATGTTCTTAATATCACATTGGATTTAGAAGTTCAGGTACCAGTCCAAAATGCCTCCTATTTTTAAGAAAACTTTCAGAATTAATATACTGTACTTTTTCAATTTACTTGCATTTTTGTCTTTTATTTTTATGCCATCATCTACAAGTAACAAATGATTGCACATTAAAATTCTCTATATTTAAAAAAAAGTTGTTTCCATTTTTGCCAAGAAACCATTTGTCCCCAAAATATTTGTATAAAGCCCTAATAATGAAATCATTTGCCTTTAATACTCCAGTGTAGTTTTGCTTGCTATTATGTCTTCCCTCTGTGCGAATTTATCAAGCTTCCAGTTCTACTTTGTTAATCCCTGATCTTTCCTAGAGCCACTAATGCTTCCCCTTTTCTCATTTAAACTTCCAGGTTGACTCTCTGTACTGATACAATTAATTGAATGGATACCATGTTAGTGTACCAGATTTTCTTCAGCAATTCTGAAGATCTTTTACAGCTCTAGACACCTGGATAACCGCTATCTATAGAAAAACTAGGCTGTAGGGCCAAGTTCTGCAAGAGTCCTTAAGGACACGCTGAAGTCCATCCCTATTCAGAAAAAACACTTAAGCACATACTTAGTGCTTTGGTTAACCAGAACTAAGGGAATTTGGTGGCTAGTATCCCCTGGCTTTCAATGAGAATTGGTTGCCTAACTCTTTTAGACTCATTTGAAAATCCCAGGTTAAGTGTTTTCTGAGAACATAAATGTCTATAAAGTTGTTGGCTTAGTTTGCTTTTAAAAATATATTTTTAGAGGTCTTCTTTTCTGCAATACTTGATTAATTTTTCAGGCTTTTCAATATTTATCAAACATTGGAACAAAGTAAATCCAGTATTAAGCTTTGTACATGATGCAGACTTCATGCCAACAAAAATAAAAGAAGAGTGTAAAAGATGGATTTTTTCTAAAATGTTGCCAAGCCCATGCTGCTGCATTTTATAGAGAGAAATTTGTGTCTTGAAATGTAAATGTTCTTTTCTTATGGAAGAGAAATAGCACCTATCTGCCAGCCACATGCCATGCTTCAGATAGAATAGTGGCTATAAATTGCATTTTATATGTTTGTTAATGGTGACTTTAGATTAAATATGGAGATTTGGTAAGGGAAGTGGGGAGCTAGTTGACAGTCTGTGATAATTTGTACCTCCATCTGGGCTTTCCACAGGAGAAAAAGTAATGCAGGATGACGAATTCACCTGTGACCTCTTCCGATTCCTCCAGTTGCTTTGTGAAGGACACAGTTCAGGTTTGTGGGCAGGCTGCCAGTCAGCTGAGCCAAGGTGATGGTAACCAGGGATAAAAGCTCATCAGTGCTGAAGGCTTGGCAAGTTTTAAGGAAATATTATGAAAGGTTCCTGAGTAGCTGAACTGTACATGAAAGAAAAATATTTATGTGGAGTTAAAATGTCAAGTTTCCTTGTTCATTTAAACATTGGGAGAAAAAAATGGCTCACAAAATGATAAAACTCCTGGAGCATGAACTATGTGAAAGGTAAATTAAATAGAAAATGAAGTTTACTCTAGTTTTAGCTCCTGATCACTAAATGGGAGGAAAGTCTTAAAGGAGGGCTTTGCAGCAAACATATTGTACTTTGGCATGCAAAGTATTTTTAGAGTTCTGGTTCTCACTGAAGGTGGTTAGGGGGCTTAAATGTCATCCCAGGAGCATATGGGAGATCTTCATTGAAGGAGGAACAATAGTTTTTCATATATAACATAAGGAAATACTAGCAATTTCTTTTAAAGTATTTTTAATATTAGTTCACTTACTCATATACTTTGTGGTATTATAAAAAAAAGATTCCAGTTTATAGCTGTCAAACATATTCATATCATTGTCATCAGTAATGGCATAAGATTTAATTCGGATTTCATTTAGACTAGTGTAAATCGGGAATAATTCTAGTGACGTTAATGTAGTGACATCAGTGTAAAGTTGATATAAGTGAGATCAAAGTCAGACTTATAATATGTTCACAGGAGAAACCAGATATTAGAACTTGTAAACTGTTACTTGATCTCCTCAATAAGATGGTACCATTCAGGCAGATGTAAACGGTTCAGTGAATTAAAATATGGATTTAAACAGGAAAGTTACTTAGAAGATGTTTCAATCCTTTAAAGTAGGCTTTGACCAATGGATTGTACCAGAATTTATTTTAATAAATAATTCTGAAAATATTTGAGATTTAAATAAATGTTAATTTGAACTCATCCTCTCATTTTAGATTTTCAGAATTATTTGAGAACTCAAACTGGTAACAACACAACTGTCAATATTATCATCTCCACTGTGGATTACTTACTGAGAGTTCAGGTAAACCATCTTACATACTAATTGCAAATAAATACAGGTAGCTGTATTTTAGCATTTTTGTTGTTGTTTCTAAAAATTCCAGTATGTGGAAAATCAACCTTTTTTTCAGTTGTTGTTGCTGTTGTCAGTATTACTGTGTGTCCTTGCAAGTTCTTTAGAGGCTCGGTGGTAATAACAATAAACCTTTTTATGTTTTGGAGCTCATTTTGATGAAGTTTCAGCTGACATTCTTTAAGGGAGATGGAAAGAAGAATTCTGTGCACAAAGAATATTCAGTTCCTTGATTTAGCTAGCTGGCAGGCAGACAGTATAAAGACACATTGTTCACATGAACAGCACACAGCACTGTGTTAATGATTTAGTCAGTTTAAGGGCCCATATGTGTATGTAAAACTTGAAATAAACAAAAAGACCAGGTAATCTAGACAAAAGTTAGATTTTGAAGGGATTTTTGGTTTTGTTTTGTTTTTCCCTGTGGGTTTCACTGGAGATGAGAGAGAAAATGCATTATGTTGATGATACCTAAAATGTCTGAGATTATTTTAAATCCATATGAATAAATGGATATTTTTTTTGCTCACAACGAAGTTTGCTTTTAAAGTCTACTTTATGAAAATGCTGATGAACACAGGAGTGGCAGTTTGAATATCTGACCTGCATGTGTTGTTTCTTACATCTGTTTTATAGGAATCAATTAGTGATTTCTACTGGTATTATTCTGGGAAGGATGTTATTGATGAGCAAGGACAACGTAATTTCTCCAAAGCAATTCAAGTTGCAAAACAGGTCTTCAATACTCTCACAGAGTATATTCAGGTAAACTGCTCATTGCATGAAATTAGTAAGAAATAATGTTTTGAAATATGTGTAGTAGCCATTTGTTATTTTTTTGCAAACTAAGAATCTAGCAGATTCCCACGTATCATTGAATTATCTCCTCTTTTGCTAACCAAGACTTCTTGTGTCCCAGTATGTAGCCAGTTGTGTCCTTTTCTTTCCAACAGGAACCTTGCCATTATAATTTGTTTTGCACCTCAAGACTGGACTACTGCAATGTATCATACTATGTTCTTCACGTTTGCTTTATCTGAAAAGTAAAACTAATGTAGAATGTGGCTGTGTGCTTAGTAAGTGGAATATCATGGCATATTCAGTCAGTGCTCTGGCTTCTTGTCAGTTTGATTATAAAGCTCTGAATACACTGCTTGAGAAAACTCTTTCCCCATGACATATTGCCACATTTCAGATCTGCAGAGACTTGCCTGACCTGGACCCTCTTTGCAATAAACAAGAAGAAACTGCTGGCAGGATGTAATGAGCACCATAAAAAAGTTCTAGAAGAAATTAATAATTCAGTACTGAGTGCAGGGCTTGGAAGGGGTGCAACAAAATATGGAGCGCCACATTGAAGGATAAGAAAAAAATGGAATAGCTGTCTCCATGCCATGGATGGAGAACCATCCATTCTGTGCACTGACTAAGGCAAGGGGTCTCATAGACTTTAAGGCCAGAAGGGACCGTCATGTTCATCTAGTCTGACCTCCTGCCCATTGCAGGCAACAGAAGCTCACCCATCCACTCTTATAAAAGACCCATAACCTCTGTGAGTTCCTGTATTCCTCAAATCTTGATTTAAAGACTTCAAGTTACAAGGAACCCACCATTTACACTAGTTTAAACCTGCAAGTGATCCATGCCCCATGCTGCAGAGGAGGGGGAATAAAAACCTGGTCTCTGCCAGTCTGGCCTGGAGGAAAATTCCTTTCGGACCCATATACAGTGATCAGTTAGACCCTGAGCACGTGGACAAGCTCCGCAGCCAGACATCTGGAAAATAATTTTCTGTAGTAACTTAGAGCCCTTCCAGTCTAGTGTCCCATCACCAATCATTGTAGGTCTTTGCTACTAGCAGTTGCAGATCGGCTACATCCACTCCATAAACTTATCAAGTTCAGTCTTGAAGCCAGTTAGGTTTTTTGTCACCACTACTCCCCTTGGAAGCTCGGTCCTATGGAAAAACTTGAATTCTGTCATTTCCTAACTTTTGAGTACTTGACTTTGCAATCTTCATAACGTTATTTAATGTAGTTTTTCTTTTCTATGTAACTAGCTAGAATTTTTAAAGAAAAAAATGGCAATCAAATTCTCCTAGGTTTAATTTTAATGTACCCTTTATTGTTCTCTTAAAAAAGGATGTGTGATAAATGTTAGTGGAAAGTGTTAGGTTCACTGCCATTCATCCTATACTATATTGGATCCTCTATCCATGTACAGAACTTCTTTCCCCATAAGTGGGCACTCTATGTGCAGATTGAGGTCCCATATAATTCATCTATTTTTTAGTGAATGTCACTACCAGTATGCTACAATATACTAGTCTTTTCCCATGTAAAATAATCGAGTGAGAAATGCTGCTTATGACAATATGAAGTGATTTAAAATAATTTGGGGCCTTTTTGCTGATTACACAATATTTTCATTATGGAAGTTGAGGTTCAACTGTCAGGAGAGTGTTTAAAACTACACTATATGAAATCATGGCAATTATATTAATCAATGAAAGGATCATTTTGATAAGCCAAAAAGTAGCTTTATCTGATAACTATTTTTGAGAAATTATCCCAAAAATTAATGCTTAAAAGATAGGGACAGACTCTGATCACATTATATGTCAGGAGTAATTCCATTGAAACTAAATGGACTTACAGGACTATGAAACCTATATGAGTGAAGATTCAGGCCCCTAATCATTGTAATTTCTCTTGGGAAGGATTTATTTAAAGACTGAGCATACAGACTATACTTTTTTATTCACATTCAAATCTTCATTATGGAAATCTGTATTATTTTAGACTTCATAGGAGTGAATTGTGAAAGTACTAGCTTGAATAAGTATTAGCAGAGGCTGGTGATATGCAAATGTATACACACAGCTCTAACAGATTTGGCCCGCTACACCCAAACTATTCTGTTCACAGTGTTAATAAATATCTTATTCATTGTCCTTTGAAATATCATCTGATTTTTGTAAAAATATTATTATAGCATTGTAACACCAGACAATGTTTTACAACAGGTGAAACTTGCTGAACAAAAAACAAGAGGCCTGATTCAACTCTTCTTAAAATAATTTTACCAGAACCTCATCATTGTTACTCCTGATTTACAAAAAGAAAAGGAGTACTTGTGGCACCTTAGAGACTAACCAATTTATTTGAGCATAAGCTTTCATGAGCTACAGCTCACTTCAGCTGTAGCTCACGAAAGCTTGTGCTCAAATAAATTGGTTAGTCTCTAAGGTGCCACAAGTACTCCTTTTCTTTTTGCGAATACAGACTAACACGGCTGTTACTCTGAAACCTGTCCTGATTTACACTTGCTTAAGTAGAGGAGAATTAGACTAAACATCTGTGCCCCTCATGAGATTCCAATTTAAAGGTGCAAACTGGTACTCTTCCGTGAACATTGAGATCCATTTTTTGTTGCTCCCTTTTTACACAGAACTTTGAAAATGTGGCTTTAGTTGCCTTAAAGCAAAGGAAGTGGTAGGGATATTCTACAGTAATTGTTATCAAATGAAATTGTCATTCCATTTATGTTTCCACTTTCCTTAACAGTTCCTAAAATGCTTGTGTAGCAGCTCTCAGCTGGTCATATTTTAGGTAACCTGATTCTAATTTTATCCTAATGTTTGATGTAATTCTCTTGCATATAAACCCTGTTCTCCTTTTCTTGTCATCTGCATGGTAGGGTCCATGTACAGGGAACCAGCAGAGTCTGGCACACAGCAGGCTGTGGGACGCAGTGGTTGGTTTTCTTCATGTGTTTGCCCACATGCAGATGAAACTATCTCAGGTATCATGTACTTTTTTTCTTATTTTTTAGTTACTAACTTTTTACAATACATTAGCTGAATTGTTGATCGAACAAATTATTTTCATATTAAGAGAGCGTGACCAGAACAACAATGCAAGGGAATATAGAAGAATTGAGGCAGTATAGGCTATGAACCAGTGGGAGAGAAACTTGGCCAAGTGATTACAGAATGACACAGCAACTCCTATGATCCAACCCATTCTTCAGACACCAACTTCCTCTGTAACTTTGGGCATGTCACTCTGTGCCTCAATTTCCCCATCTGTAAAGCAGAGTCATACATACCTTCTTACCTGTCTCGGGGGGTGTGGTGGAATATTTGAAAAATAATTTGATGTACTCAGATTAAAGGTGCCCAACAAGTGGGAAATGTTTTTTTATTGTTGTTATCATTATTTTTAATCTCTGTTGTTACTTTTATAATATTTAAAGTTATAGAGCTCTGAAGACCAAGATTTTGGCTATTTTTATTATTATTTTAGATTCTGATATGATTCAAGAATCCAGTCTTTGCATGTACCACAGAGATGAAAGTTGGGATTTAGTGTCGAGTGAAGGTTGATTTCTTAGTTCTGCTGAACTTCTTAGTGCTATAGACATTCTTCGTCTTCATGAATAGGCATATTCTCACAGCAGGTGGCACTGTGATGAGTGCAGCCTTTCCTAAATGATAAAGAGGAGACGCGTACAAAAATAGAGGTGTACCAAAAGCCTACACATATTGTCATGGTTACCAAAATATACTTATTTTAAGAATGAAAAAGTAGGCTTGTTCCACAGCGTGTGGAAAGTCTGTGGCCAAGCCAGGAGTAAAATCCTCTTGGGTCCCAGTGCAGTGCTTTAAGTATGAGAAGACATCCTTTTCTCTTATTAAAAGTTTCTGCTTTCTGCTTTATTCACTGTTCATCCTTTGCACTGAATGATGCAGGACTCCTATGGTAAAAAAAAAATGTGATCATGTTATGTCATAGCCATGAGGCTTTGCTTAATAATAGGGCGAGGGAAGTTTATAGAATTATTAATATTAGTTGCTAGATTAGACCTGATGGTTTCCTCTTAGTCTACGGGACAGTGGCAATGTCTTTTTCCCATTTGGAGCTCAAGCTCTTGGGGACTGGGAGCATGTTCAGTATCTCAGTATAGTTGACATATTGAGAGATCTTTGAGGCTTTGAACATGCCTAATGCAGATGGGATGCTCAGGTATTTTCATAGCAAAGTTTTAATAAATTCCTCGGAACAAGTGTAAATACTGATTTTCAGAGTCTTTCATAAATTGACTAAATCTGGGTGGATTTCATTGGGGTTGGCAAATGGTACCTCTTTGGTGTACCTCATAGAGGCTGGCCCTAGAGCTCTTCCAAGAATGGTTGGAAATAGATTTGAACGTCAGCAAAACTACTCATTTTCCCTAACTTTGTAGTCGGAAGCCACTGAACTTTTTATGGTGAAATATATGCATGAGGCACAAACATGGGGAACATGGGGAAATTTCAGATGAAATCGTTAAAGATTGTCAAAGTTCTATGTAATTGAAGTTTAATAACTTTGTTTTACTTCTTATAAAATGTTCCCAACTATGACTGATCTGTCACTTTTTTTGGTCTTATTTGAGCTCTTTGTAACTCAATGCTATTGCTGTCATGACACTTTTCTTACGGCCATGTGGGTGGGAACCTGATCATCCCAACACTAACATCAGTTTAGCAAACATAAAGTATTATATAGACATCATCTCTTCAACTCCAACACAGCTGCATACTATCAGAAAAGCTTTTCTTTTCTTTATTCTCCATAGTAGCTCAACTTGCACTATGGCTGTATTAAATTGCTGTTTCTTCTAAACATATAAGAGTGTGTGTATGTGTTTTGCTACTATATGAGAGTAAATAGTTGGATAAATGTGTTTTCCTTTTATTTTCAGATCTGACATAAAGGGCCAAATACACTAATGGCCTCTCAGCTTCTCAGTCTGATTTTCCCTAAATGAAACCTACATGTGCACACACAAACACTAGTTCAAGTTGGCAGTTGTATGTGTAAAATACCTGTTTTACAAGGACAAGTTTCTATTTGTGCAAAATATGTGCATGCAAGATCAGAGGCTGGGTTGAGGTTGTTAAAAATATTGGCCCAAAATAGTCTTATTTACAATGGATTCATGTTTGCAGGATTCCAGTCAAATTGAATTACTGAAAGAGTTAATGGATCTTCAGAAGGATATGGTGGTCATGTTGTTGTCTATGCTGGAAGGTAATTTTAATTTATTTTAAAAGTTTATTTTGCAAGTATTATAACTGTGTCTTTTCCTCTGCATATTTTTTTTCACAGCAAAACCAATGTCTCTTCCTTTTTTAGTATTTTAATGTTCATTAGTTTATTATCAGAAGAGTTGTTGATCTTTAAAGGCTCATGGGAATTATTATAACTATAATTTACATGGTGAGCAATAATGTATAAATTAATTAAATCAGTGTTAATTATGCACATGCCAGCTCAGTTTGAATCATTACAAAGATTTACTTATTTCCATGTGTTTGGCTTCTGTTTTGGTTCAAATGAGATGCTATTTGCTGGTGAAGCTAGAATCCAAGGTTCTTGCTACAGAAGGAAGCTTCACTATTTATCAGTTGTTTTATTTACTGTGTGTTAGCAACTTCAGTGTGCTGCATTTAACATCACACTTTTTTTGTATTGACAATTACCATAACCATGAAAGAATGGGCTTTGAATTCACCTGGGTAGGTCTATCATGGCTCTGGGGGATTGTCCTGTTTAACATTTGCAAAAGCTGCTATTGCACCTCAACTTCACGCAGTAGCATACAGCCATTGTAAAATATGGCTTTATTTATTGATTTGCAGTGGCCACTGGGACCTTCAGTCAAGGACCAGGACCACATTGTGCTAGGCATTGAATGAACAAAGATCGTCCCAAAGATACCTATTTTCTCCCTCAGAACCAGAAAGCCTAATCTCCACAGCATATCTAAGCTCGTCAGAGGAATGGCAAGAAAAGTCTTAATGTCACTCCTAAATTCCATCTCCCATTCAGCACTCTACTAAATGTGAAAGAAGTCTTTGATGTATACATACTGACATTTATCTCCTTCTTTCAAAAGCAGTGCTAATCCAGTCCCCTGCACTCAAGGCAGGACTAAGTAATAACTAGACCATTCCTGAGAGGTGTTTGTCTAACCTGCTCTTAAAAACCTCCAATAACGGAGATTCCACAACCTCCTTAGGCAATTTGTCCCCGTGCTTATCTGCCTGACAGGAAGTTTTCCCTAATGTCCAACCTAATTTTGCCTTGCTACAATTTAAGCACATTGCTTCTTTTCCTATTCTCAGAGGCAAACAAGAACAATTTTTTCACCCTCCTCCCTGTAACAACCTTTTATGTACTTGAAATCTGTCATGATGGCCCCCTCAGTCTTCACTTCTTCAGACTAAACAAACCCAGTTTTTTCAATCTTTCCGCATAGATCTTGATTTGGTATAGTATTTTTAAATGATAACCTGTATAGTTATACACTGAAGACTTGCATGCAACCAGATCATTTAGTAATTTGTAAATCTTACCATGTGATGATTTCAGTAATCATTATTAAATGCTTTTATTTGCCAAAATGTTCATTGTCACCAATGACTGGTTATTGCATGTTGCCACCTTTAGGTAATGTTGTGAATGGAACTATTGGCAAGCAGATGGTTGACATGCTAGTGGAGTCTTCCAACAACGTGGAGATGATTCTGAAGTTTTTTGATATGTTCTTAAAGTTGAAGGATTTAACTTCATCTGATGCATTCAAGGAATATGACCCTGATGGTAAGGGTATAATTTCAAAGAGGGACTTTCAGAAGGCCATGGAAAGCCATAAGCACTACACCCAGTCTGAAACTGAGTTTCTACTATCTTGCACTGAGACGGATGAGAATGAGACTCTGGATTATGAGGAATTTGTGAAACGGTTCCATGAACCTGCCAAAGACATTGGTTTCAATGTTGCTGTTCTCCTGACCAACCTTTCAGAGCACATGCGCCATGATACCCGGTTACAGACTTTTCTTGAGCTAGCAGAGAGCGTTCTGAATTATTTTCAGCCCTTCCTTGGACGCATAGAAATCATGGGTAGTGCAAAGCGCATTGAGCGAGTTTACTTTGAAATAAGTGAGTCAAGTCGAACTCAGTGGGAGAAACCTCAGGTTAAAGAGTCAAAGAGGCAGTTTATCTTTGATGTAGTAAATGAAGGAGGAGAGAAGGAAAAGATGGAACTTTTTGTTAATTTCTGTGAGGATACCATCTTTGAAATGCAGCTAGCTGCCCAGATCTCTGAGTCAGATTTGAATGAGAGGTCCACAAATAAAGAAGAGAATGAAAAAGATAAGCCTGAGGAACAGGACCCTAGAATGGGCTTCTTCTCCCTTGTGACTGTCAAGTCAGCCTTGGTAGCCCTCAAGTATAATATAATGACTCTTACAAAAATGCTCAGCATGAAGAGTCTAAAGAAGCAGATGAAGAAAATGAAGAAAATGACCATGAAGGACATGTTCATGGCTTTATTTTCTTCCTACTGGAGCATCTTGATGGGCTTACTGCATTTCACCTGTAGTGTTTTCCGAGGCTTCTTTCGCATCATGTACAGTTTGCTACTCGGAGGAAGCTTGGTAGAAGGGGCTAAGAAGATCAAGGTAGCTGAACTTTTAGCCAATATGCCAGATCCCACTCAGGATGAGGTACGTGGCGAAGGGGAAGAGGGAGAGAGGAAACCCACAGAAGCTGCATTGCCAGCAGAAGATCTGACTGATCTGACAGCTTTATCAGATGATGGTGACCTACTCTCAGACATATTTGGCTTGGATTTGAAAAGAGAAGGAGGCCAGTATAAGCTGATTCCTCATAATCCAAATGCTGGTCTGAGTGATTTGTTGAGCACACCTTCCTTACTTCCATTACCTGAGATGCAGGAAAAAATTCAGGTAACAAACTATATTTTTACCCACCGTGTTTCAGTCTGTTCTGTGTGGATCAGAAATAAAACTTACAGCTATGTTTGTGTGATTTTAGTTTTTTTCTTAAGTGTGGCATGCTTTTTAAAGAAGAACAGTGAATTACCAAAGTTTAGTCTTTCTGGGATCACGAGCTTGAAGCTGCTCAGACTAGTCAATGTTATTTGGTTTGCTTTTAAATTCAAAATTCAGTGTGTCTTTTGTAAATGCAAAAGGAAATGTCATTTTCCCTCACTGTAGCGTTGGTTAATAAAAAATGCCTTGATGTTCAGCAGTATGACTGTTGCCTTTTAGCCATGTTTTGGAGGCTGCATACCGTATAATGCTGCTTAGACTTTGTAGATGAGGTTGTTTGTGTTGGTAAGGGGAAGAGCTCAACCTGGGGCACACTTCTGTTTTGTCTTGTGTTCCTAAAGTTCATGCTTCAGGGTTTCATCAAGGTATTCTAGGAGGGTTTTGTTTCAATCTCCTTCCTCTGAAGCATCAGGAATGGAGATGGGACATTGGACATGGAGGGCACAGAGCATTCTCTTTCTCAGGTGCATGACTGGTTGGTTCTTGCTCATGTGCTCAGGGTCTCACTGATCAGCATACATGGGGTTGGGAAGGAATTGTTCCCCAGGTCATATTGGCAGTGACCTGGGGGACTTTTCACCTTCCTCTGCAGCCTGTGGGTACAGGTCACTTGCCAGGATTATCTGGGTATCACTTAATCATTTCCCTGCCATTGCAGGGCTTGGATCAATGGTACATGTCAGCCCTTCCTAGTCTCTTCCTGTTTCACTTACCAATTTAGTATCCTGTAGGTTGTAATACTTGGATCTCAGTTTGATTGTTGGGTTCAGTGTGTGGTGATAAGTGGTGTTGGTGGCCTGTGATATAGAGGAGGTCAGACCAGATGATCTAATGGTTCCTTCTGGCCTTAAACTCTATGACATTTTTTATCTGACTCATTCAAGGAGCAGAAAGTGAATGAAGGTGAAAAGGAGGAGAAAGAAGAAACTAAATCGGAACCTGAAAAAGCAGAGTAGGTATAACCCTAGATCTTGCTCCTAAGAACTGTAGTTTGTTTTTCTGAGAAGTCAGTTTTCTTTACAGGTAGTCCCTTGCTACTTCATTTCTGTGTCATAGAGACATCTCACATGTCTGAATGTAGGTTTCCTTTCACACATCATCCTCGCTGGCAAAGGAGCCCCTCACAGTCCCAATGCAGTGAAACCAGCATAAAATTGATGCCATTATGGTGGTTTTATGCCTTTCTTTATTCCAGTCCATCCTTCCCAGTCCTGTTTCCGACTGTGATCACTGTATTTATGTGACACCTGGGATAGCAGTCAGCTTTCTCTATAGTGCTGCTCTATGATAAGTCTTTTAATGACTAGAATTTACACTACACTACGTCTGCTGTGGTGAGGACTCCAGGGTGCAGAGAAAGCAGCAGGATAGTACCATAACATAATATAAAAAGAAAAGGAGTACTTGTGGCACCTTAGAGACTAACCAATTTATTTGAGCATGAGCTTTCGTGAGCTACAGCTTGAATGAAGTGAGCTGTAGCTCACGAAAGCTCATGCTCAAATAAATTGGTTAGTCTCTAAGGTGCCACAAGTACTCCTTTTCTTTTTGCGAATACAGACTAACACGGCTGTTCCTCTGAAACCTAACATAATATAGTCTCACACTACCTCCCTCCCTTCCCAGGAGAGTTAAGAGTGTAACTTTCACTGTATGTACAAGCCAGGGCTGGGCTGCTTGAACAGACAAATTCCCAATATCACTTGGAACTAAGTTCTCCTGTGTTCAAGGCCCCATGTACTCCACATAAAACTGAACCTAATGTCTACTTCAACAACCCCAGCTTCTGTAGCATTCTGGTGCAGAAATTCCACAGGCGCATTTATCAGCGGGGTAGCTGTGTTAGTCTGTATCCACAAAAACAATGAGGAGTCCGGTGGCATCTTAAAAGACTAACAGATTTATTTGGGCGTAAGCTTTCATAGGTAAAAGTGGGTTTTTTACCCACAAAAGCTTATGCCCAAATAAATCTGTAAGTCTTTAAGGTGCCACCGGACTCATAGTTACAGGAGCATTTGAATTTAAAACTAGAAGGCTAAATATGTAAGTAGCCCCGCGTGCATTTGTTTGTGATACTGAATGCAATTGATTGTATGCTGTTCCAAAGATTTCACTTTTCAATCTTCCACACATGTCATCACACACACCAAGGGGAACCCTGGAGGTTTTGGCAGAGAATAGTTAGGGCCTTTGGCATTTGAGCAGGTTTGGGAGGCAGAGTGGGATTGTGGGACAAAAGCGAACATGCCTGAAATTTAATAGTTATTTTTAAGGTTCAGAGTTAAAACCCCTTTAAGATGGAAGAGGGAGTTTATCACTCCTAGAACTATTGTTCCAGGCTATCTGCTGATTAAGGAAGAAAATGCTTTGATTTACATTCAACTCTAGAGCTGTGCCAGAACCAGAATTCCTGTCCTATGAAAAATGTCACATTTCCAAATGTTTTTCCTTTTGACTTGGAATTAAAAGTTGAAAATGAAAATTTTCTATTGGATGTAAACTATGGTGCCAGGCAGCCCAACTGCCAGATGGGCACCCCAGGGAGCCGACTAGCTGGTAAGCCCAGGAAGCCGGGCAGCTGAGGGAGCCATCACCAGACAGGCTGCCCAGTGTGCTGGGAGGCTGGGGACCCAAGCAGTCTGCCTGCCGACCCTCCAGTCAGCTTGTAGGCAGGCAGAGAGGAAACCAGACGGGCTGGTCAACCTGCTTGCCTGACTGGTTTCCATCAAAAGGTTTGACAGAGTCAAAATGTTTCCACAACATATATTGATTCCATAAAATCAGAATTTTCCAATGGAGAAAAAGATTCCATCAGAAAATGTTTGACCAGCATTATTTAGTCCATATCTAAAGTTTTCTTGGCAAACACAGTGGCTAGAAGCATTAAACATACAGACAGAACCACATAAGTTCCAGAGAACAATTTTATAGTAAGGTGTACGGTCTTTGGCAAAGTCTTTGGGTACAGGTTCACCTAATGAACTGTGTGCAGCTGCTAGGTATGTAAACCAGGGTGATTTTGATTTTACAAACCTTGTCAGTCCAATATTGTTTTGGCTTTAGCAAAATTCTGTGTGGGCATGGCTCACTGCAGGATCACAGTTCAGTGCTCTTAAATTTTTATGCAGCACAAACTTTGTCAGTTTTCTTCAAATGTGCAACTCAGCCTTTCTCTTTGTTTTTGTTTTTCTAAATTAGTGCAACACTGTTTTAGGTCCCAAATTAGTAATAGAATGAAGGACTGAGTTAAAAATCAAATAAATGTAATGGAATACAAAATACAGTGTTTGGTTTTAACTGGTAACATAGAGTGAAACTACATCCCATAGTTCAGGATTCCTCGTTTTCCTTAGTATAGCTGATACATGACAAACACCTGAAATTGCAACAATCAATTCTTGTTCCTTCCTCCATTTGAGTAAGTGCTTGTGGTATCCATGACTGTTGGAGAGGAAATACAGAATCCTAAACTCAAGACTTGGTTCGTAAATAGAGGAGGAAATGCTTTTCAGTTATTCTGTTTCAAAACATAAATGTATTGTAAGTTTTAAGTCAACTATATTATGTTATGGTGCTATCCTGCTGCTTTCTCTGCACCATGGAGTCCTCACCAGAGCAGATGTGATGTAGTGCTGAGGGTAGAGGAGAGCCACCCAAAGTGCATTACAGAGCTTAGTTCTATTGGTACTAACTACAATAATATGGAGTGGGGCTTGGGAATAGGAAGGGTGGAGCAGATGGATCCATAATTACCTGGATTCACCAGTCAAATATCCTCATTTAAGAGAGGCTACTGTAATGCAGTGGCTGCAGTATCACCCACAGAACATTTTTGCCATTTCTTTGTGGCCTGAGAGGGAGAATTCCTCTTCATTTCACGTCTTCTTCCCTGCACGAATCATGGCGACTGTGGCTTCATGAGGGGACAGGATTTCCCCCTTACTGTGGTGGGACTGTAAACAGGAGTCAGTAATGTGTCCGTGGTAAAAATGTTGATGTCCATGGTAATTTTTCAAAAAATTGAATGACTGAATGACATAATTCCCCCTTCCCCCAATGTCCGTCACTAAGTATGGGCATTTTGTCACGTGTCCGTCGCACAACATGGTGGTGCCAACCCCTGACTGTAAACATCTGGGCGGGGAAAAAGTTTATAATAGATCTCTAGTCATCTTCAGTGACTCAGCACACATTATGAGCTCATTTTTTTTCTCAGGGGAGAAGATGGAGAAAAGGAAGAAAAAGCCAAAGAAGACAAAGGGAAACAGAAGCTGAGACAGCTTCATGCACACAGATATGGAGAACCAGAAGTGCAGGAATCAGCCTTCTGGAAGAAAATCATAGCATACCAGCAGAAACTTCTTGTAAGATGTTATCTACATTGGACTGAGTACTTGCATGTTAGCCAATTATGTGTACCAGGAACTTGTTACAAAGGACTGCAGAAAGTGTCTGTGCATCTGAGAAAGCTGTAGCAACCTTCACTCACTCTCTGTCCTCAACCCACCCCCAAAAAAGGCATAAAAACAAAATGACAGTGAAAATACCAATGTGCTAGGCAAAATTATATATTTTTTTTGAAAAACATTAATGGCCTTCTTCAAAGCTGCGTGTAATGTGTGCCTTTAAATATGCGTGTACACTCTTCATAACCACAAAACCATTCTTTTTTTTTTCCCACAAGCTGTTAGTTGTATATGCAGTTACCCAATTTGTGAATGCAAATGTGGGGGTTTGTGGCTGGGAATGGATGCACATGTATTTTGTATTTTTAGGGGGTGGAAGAATTATATGCAATCTTGAAAATTATTTGCCACAAATGTTCATAGCTGCATTGCAGCTGTGAAGTCCTATTAGTAAGCAGCACAAGTCTGCTGTGTGGGTAATTAACCATTGGAGCAGTTTTCCAAGGATCATGGTGGACTCTCCATCACTGGCAATTTCTAAATCAAGATTTTTTTTTAAAGATATACTGACGTTCAAAAGGAATTGTTCGGGGGAAGTTCTGTGGCTGATGTTATGCAACAGGTCAAACTAGATCAGGAATCAGCAACCTATGGCCCACGGCCTGCCAGGTTAAGCCCCCTGGTGGGCCGGGCTGGTTTGTTTACCTGCCGCGTCTGCCGGTTAGGTCGATTGTGGCTCCCACTGGCCACAGTTCGCCGCTCCAGGCCAATGGCGGCTGCGGGAAGCCGTGCAGGCCGAGGGATGTACTGGCCGCCACTTCCCACAGCCTTGGAATCTATGAAGGGGAAAATTAGAGTGGAGAGATCTCAGAACTCAGAGCAAAATTTGATGAGTTCAGAAGCATGGCAGTATCCTCTCTCACAGGTAAATTACATTTGTCTCTCAGGCTCTGGCACTATTCAGAGGCTTTGCTCAATATCTGAAAGGCACAAGGTTGAAGAAACTTGGTCTCAGACCTGTGGTAGTGGCTACAGAGCCTTTCCATGACAACTACCACAAGGTATATCAGGTTTCCTCTGCTCTCTCCCAGCCACCCATGGATCCAAGCAACTCTCTAATCCATTAGCTCTGCACCTGCCTGCATGACAACTCGACCACACATATTCCTGTAAAAAGAGCTACTACTGAGGCCATAGTGTTCAAGGGTCTTCAGGGTCACCTTTCACTGCCTCTCTGCTTTCTAGCCCCTAGGGCAGTGATAGACAATTTCCCTTGTATGTGAGACCTTTCACAGCAGCACATGGGACTGCAGAATTTTACCTTTACTGAGAGAGAGATAGAAATTTATGAGGCATGTGACAAACCAATTTAAAGAATTTTTGAAAACCCAGTACTTCGTATAAACTAGATTTAAATCTGTGTAAAAGAGATGTCGTACATTTTGCATGAAATATTTACTTTTTTAAAACTGTCTTGAAAGCCCATATATATGGAAAATAAGACTAATTAAAGGAACATATTTCTCAAATAATACAGTTCCCCCCCCCCATTTAAATACATATTTATGCCATCTTGTAAATTGTAATGCATTCACAAAAGGGGGTGGAGAGTTACAGTTACACGTCCAGCCTTATCTTCAACATTCCCTGATTTTTTGAGTGATTCACTTTGCAACTATAGCATTCTTTTATTGTATTTTTTTTATATACGTGTAGAGATAGATAAGAGTAGCAACTATGGATGTTTTAAAAATTAGCCATTGGAAAGATCCAAAAGATTTAGTTAGGTTACAAGTTTAGCTGCACATCTGAAACTTACCTGAACTGTTCAAACCACGTCAGGCTACAGACTTTATGGGAGCAGGATTTCCATGGGATTTCCCATATTTCCACTTTCAATCCTGTTGCAGTTGGAACTAGAAAGTACAGTGGCCTAATATATTTCCACTTTCAATCCTGTTGCAGTTGGAACTAGAAAGTACAGTGGCCTTACAACATAATTTCAAGACCAAGTTATCCAAGCTTTTCACTCCTCACAAGGTCTAAGATTTGGTTCCAAATTCAGCTGGGTTTTATGATTCTCCCACTCTAACTGAAAACCTTGGTAAACATGCAAGCAATTTTTGGAGGGGATTGTGGGAAGAGGTGTTCTTCTGAGGGTTTTTAACAGTAAAACTCTGCAAGTTTTCTAGATTTGGCTACTTTGAATAATTTTTATAACATAAGGTTCTTAGAAGTAATTTTTATGAGTTCATCAAAGTTGACTAAATCAATATATAAAAAGAAAAGGAGTACTAGTGGCACCTTAGAGACTAACCAACTTATTTGAGTATAAGCTTTCGTGAGCTACAGCTCACCGATGAAGTGAGCTGTAGCTCACAAAAGCTTATGCTTAAATAAGTTGGTTAGTTTCTAAGGTGCCACTAGTACTCCTTTTCTTTTCGCGAATACAGACTAACACAGCTGCTACTCTGAAACTCGATATATAAATAATTTATAGATAAACTGTATTTTTTATTTTTATTTTCAGAACTATTTTGCTCGCAATTTTTATAACATGAGGATGTTGGCTTTGTTTGTTGCTTTTGCCATCAACTTCATCCTGCTCTTCTATAAGGTAAATTTGTTGTATTATTACTAATCAACCCTTGTGCTGCATAATTACATGAATTTGAAAAATATGGGAGACTGCGTAGCCAAATTAACACACTAACTTCCAATTAAAACTAGCCAAAGAATGCATAGCCTAGTGGATTAAGGGTCGACTTAATATTTCAAATGTGTTGAGTGCTTATTTTGTTAAAGTGATACCTCTATTAAAATTTCTGTTAATATTTTTTCCATCAGTACAATTCTAAACAATCAGAGAATCTTATATAAAACATGCCACACATACCAAAAATCTATATGTCTGACCTCTCCACACAGAGACAAGGCAGGAAAGGGTTAACGATTTAAATACTCAAATTAAATAAGGCACAAGGCTACTTAGAGCCTACTGGGCCTGCACACTGAGGGTCTTCACCTTCCTCATCACAGAAGTCCATCTCAGAGCACAGCCCCTCTCGGCCCGCACACTAGACCTTGCCCCAGTTGGTCTGCATAGTTCAGAGACTGCACAAAGAGAGGGAGTGCAATTTGTGGAGGGAGTGCATAAATCAGTCCTTCAAAAGGTAGTTAGATAATGCTGCTCCAGGCTATATTCGCTTTTCCACTGATGACTCTCTCCTGTCCCTGGAAGCTGCCATACCTAGACGAGTCCCTGGCAGAGCCATGCTATCAGGGATTCAGATCAGGGTTGGTCAGAACTACAGTGTGTGTTACAAGGCCTCCACCAAGAGGACCATGGCCTCTCATGGATCCCAAGTGATCCGTCAAGTTCGGGGCAGCTTTTCTATGGTGAGGGAATGGCAAAACCAGTCATCCCAGTGGAATAAAGTGGAGGGATCTCTGAGGTATTTCTAGAGGAGATTTTGTCACAAAAAAAGGTTCCCTTCCCCCCATTTACATCACCCTTGGTTTGTCTCTTGTGATTTATAGTACCTAGCCTGTAGAAATGCAAAACTCCTGTCAAATGAAATAGTTGTCCCACTGACTGTGAGTGATTTGAACAGGTCTCCACCTCTGCTGTGATAGAAGAAAAGGAAGTTCTTGTGGTAAATGCTGAGGAAGACTCCAAGTTAAACAGCCTGGAAAGTGGCTCCCATAGGATCATCGCTGTGCACTATGTCCTTGAAGAAAGCAGTGGCTATATGGAACCCACACTGCGGATTTTGGCTATCCTACACACAGTCATCTCCTTTTTCTGCATCATTGGATATTACTGTTTGAAAGTAAGAGGTCGAGGAATTTAACACTGTTTGTTTTTGTAGGCCTCTTTGCTCCTTTCTATTGAGTGATGTGCAGTGGAACAAAATCACAGAAATTTTGCACAAACAGGGTGGGGACTCCCATGAAGAGCCACTATGTTGCTGGCCTCCCCTATAAATAAGTTATGCATGTGATGAACCTCACAAGAATTCAGAAAGTGAGGCCTGTCATTTGAGAGAGGTGGAATCCCTCCGTATGGCATGTTCTCATAGGCTCAACACATGGCCATTTGCCATGTACATTAATCCAGCCCTGTTCTGACTGAGGTGCCACCTGTGGCTTTCAAATAAAAGTAGAGGGGAATACATGTGACCAGAGGAGGATGGATTACAATGGCAGCATTGCATGTCAGCCGGCTGTGCTGCACAAGAAGCGTATATTGCCAAGGGTGTGTGGTAGTTGGACTAGAGTTTCTGACTGATCAAGGCCTTCCTATTGTCCCTTTTACACCTCTGCCAGTCATGTTTTATCAGGAGTGGAATGCAACAGATCAGCAGCTCCACTCAAAGGAGGCACATGAATAGCATTTCTCTTTGCACAGGTTTTTATGCTGCAGGAAATTATTTGGCTTCTAGTTATTTTTCCATCTTATCTTTAATCGGTTACCTTTTCTTTGCCAAAGAGACAGGATCTGCTTTGCAAGTGAAGGCAAATGGTTACTAGGTGGCAGATTTCCTTATGCACTTTAAATACTTCCACAACACCAATACATAGTGAAACGCATTTTCCATGATTGGGTGTCAGGTGGCAAACACAGTACCATCTCCACGTCCTGCCTTTTGAGATATGGCTTTCTTTTTTCTGTGTGAGTTTTATGGAATGTCTCTCAAAAAATAATTTTTTATGTTTATCCTCTTGGTAGACATGAATTAAAAAACTATTAAAGTAACTGTTTGCCATGATGATTTCCAACAGTTCCTGATGCCCTGAATGGAAGACATTGTCCTTAAAAGGAGCAGTTCTAGTCTCGGCCTGTGGCCGCTGTAGACACACATTGCTTTTAAAAAAAAAATCCATCTCAACTGTATTGCTTTTTATATGTGTGCAAGATTTGTGTCTGGAAATTGCTGTTAAAATGGGAGTGAGTAAAATCCACTAAACACTTTTTATGAAGCTGTCTTCAAATAATATTTGAACTACAGTTATTATATCGAATGTAATATCCACCCTATTATCAGGCAATATAGTTTTAATTGTTATCATTCCAATATAATGCTGTCCAGCTGTAGGGAATGGTTTAGGTGCAGAGTCACTGATGTGGGGTGGATAAATAAAAGGTGAATTTGGGGAAATTCAGAAATAATGCTGAGAATCACTTTTCAAAATAAAAGTTCAATAAAACAGCCCTCCGTATGTAATTAATGCTTTAGTGCAACCAGAATGTAGTTTTCTGAGGAAAGTCCATTCAAATGGAACTTAAAGATCTTCCAGCCGCATCCAGTCCCAATGGGAGGCACTTCTCTTGAATGTCACCCAGCTCATTAGAGAAAGTTCTGTTCTAGGGAAGGCCTCCAGAGCAGGGCCAGCCCAAAACATTTTGGCACCTGAGTCGGGGAGCTCAAATGATGCCCCCATGCCCCTTCGCTTGGGCCAAAACTTTGAAAGGTCTCAATTCTGCCTTCTTCCTGTTCTTCTCCTCTTATGGTACTGCTCTGCTACCTCCCTCAATAAAGGAGAACTAAGAACTTAAAATGCCTTGTTCAAAAATTTTAAGTAACACTTATCTTTCAAATGCCTGAACAGCAAATGTAACTTTTCTTGTCTACATAGTAAACACTGGTGTTTTTATCTGTTTGAATAATCAAAGTGGTGCTTTCCGTGCCTTCTTGGTTGCAAAGATTTGAACTGCTTCCTGCTGAAGGTCCACAGTCTGGGCCAGCTCATGCTCTATTGAGATGGTTGCAAGGCCGACCAGCCTTTCCTGTGTCATTGTGGAGTGTAGATGTGTTTTTATTAACTTCAACTTGGAGAAGCTGCGTTCTCCAACGATAACTGTTACAGGAAGCATTAGAAGTATGCACAGAGCAACAAAACCATTTGGAAAGAGGGTGGTCATCTTATTTGTACACATATATTCCAGAATAGCCTTTGGAGTTGGTCCTGCTGAAATGTATCTTGAAAGGGCTTTCAGTTCATCACCTAAATCACTCGCATCAATATCACGCATGTCATCATGTGTCAACACTGTCTCTAGTGCCCTGCCTTGCTGGTGTAGGTCTTCTTCAGGTATAGTGAGGAATTTTGGAATATCATACAACATCCCAAATGTATTGTTGTGTTCCTTGAGTTCCATGAAATGTTCAACTGACTGTATTGCACAATCTAGCACCTGATTAAAGAATTCTACTTTGAATTGTTGTTTGGGGTCTCTTATGGGATTATCCTGTGCCTCATAATCAAAATTTCTTCTTCAGTGACTCTTGTATTCTTGAATGGGTGGGAAAATAGCTTCAGTGTGAAGTTCCTGTACCATCTTCTGTGCACTCTTCAGAACTTTTTGAAATCCCTCATCTGACCGGTAAGACTGTAGGTATGACTTTGCTTTGTCCAGTTGCTCCAGATATATGTATAGGTCAACACCTTGGAGTCTCTTGCTTACAACATTTATTTCAAATAGTATGTCATGCCACACATAAATTTGAAGTTATGTATGTTTCTGGTGATTCCATTTCCGTGTGCTATTATTCTCCAACGAACAGTTCCTGTCATAGCATTATCCTCCATAATGGCAACTATGGCATCATCTATCTTCCCTATCTGCTGTTTGATAGGCTTTATCGCCTCCACTCAACTTTCCCATTGTGTGGCACTCAGTGGTTTCAGTGTCAGAGAGGATGTTCCCAGATGTTCAAAATTTGCCATCGATGAGTTGATGCAGAGAAAAATACATAGATGCTTTGAATTACATTAAAAAATTCAGCAGCCTCACTAGAAACTGATGCTGCATCACTGACCATTAGGTTCTATGAATGAGAACTGCATGGGACAAAAAAAGCTCAAGGTTTTAACTCTCAGATCCGTGTCTGTATTCCTCTGTTCTTTCCTCTCATGTTGGCAGCATTATCGTAGCCCTGACCTCTCATGTCAGCTCTCGCAATTCCCATATCTTCTAGCTTTTTAAGAAGCACATTTGTCATACCAGCTCCTGGTATGACATCATCAATGTCAATACATTCTAGAAAATGCTCTCTGACAGTCACCATTGCAGGGACATTTTCACTAGGTTCTGTTGTTGTTACAAAACGCACCATTAAAGTCATTTGTTCCATATGGCTGATGGCAGGTGTGCAGTTCAGAATAACAGAGTAATACCTTGCTGACTTCAGATCTGCCACAATCTTCTGTTTGACTTTTGTTGCCAGTAACTGTATGATCTCATTTTGAATTGTTTTTCCAAGGTAGTGGTGTGTGTACATTTTTTGGCTTGTCACTCTTCTTAGATGCTCCTGGAGTACAGCATCAAACTCAGCCATCAGCTCCACAATTTTAAGGAAGTTTCCATTGTTTGGCATATATAGCTGATCTGAAGTGCCACGCAGTGCTAGGTTTTGGGTAGCAAGCATTCTAACAATGGCAGTGAGCCTTTTCAGAATATTTTGCCAGTAAAGAGACTATGATGCAATCTTCTCTTGATGCTGATCATCTGTGGTGGTCTTTAACCTTAGTCTCATCTCAAGCTCTTTCCACCTATGGAATGCTCTCTGGTGATTTGTTGCCTTCTCATGGCATGCCAGATTTCTAGATAGATTTTTCCAGTCCTTTGTTCCTGTAGAACCCAATGTGGCTGGAATACTAGACTGGAAGAGTTTGCAACAAAAACAGTATGCAGCATTCTGGGTTTTTGAGTACATAAGCCATGGCCTCTCCACTTTGTCACCATTGGGGATTTCACACCAGTAATGTGTTGGATGGAAACGTCTATTTTCATTGTCTTTGGGGAACATGAAGTTTTTCACTTGCTGTGGCCCATGCAGTACAAGGAAGTCCGTCAGGCTACTGATCAAGTGGGTCCACAGTCCTGGACCATTGAGACTTAAGGAACTAAACTCAGCAGCAGCTGTTTCTTGCACCTCCGCCACAGTCTTCTCTGATCTACACTTTTCTTCAGGAATGTGCATGGTTACATCCATCTGAGATGGAGATATGGATGCTGCAGTAGCTGCCAGCTCACCTGCAGTCTGACTAACTGGAAGATCAGGCATCTCCTCACCACTCACATCCTCACTGGGGCCGGAAGGCTCACCGTGAACATGTGTGTCTATGTATCTCAGGAGAGCTCCTTCCTGCTTAGATAGAAAACCTTCCTTTCCTTTCTTTCTTTTTCTGAATGCTGCCCCAGAGGGGCATTTTCTTCTTTCACTCATGACTGCTGTTCTGTGCCAGCTATAGTGGCTCTCAACACTCAATTGAAGGGGACAAATAAGCAGGCTGGTAGCAGGGCCTGAGTGAGGGAAGATATCGGCGTCTTAAGGGCCTAACTGGCTCCTACTACTTCGGTTGACTGCCTGTTCTCCTTAAGTGGGTTCAGGGAAGCAGCAGGAAACAGGAAGCTCCCTGAGAAGCTGGTGTTAATCAGTCCAGGCTCCTGGGGGTACTAGAGAGGTACCTAAGAGGCTCCTCCTCCTCTCTCTCCGTGCGGCTCCTGCTGCTTTCTGTTATTCCTCTCACCTTTTCTCCTGCCTGCCTGTTATGTCTCTTGTGCCCTCCTTCCTCCGGCACAGCACTGCACCATCTCTGTGCATCTGGAGCAGAGAGAATACATATTCACCAGCAGCAGACACAATTGTCTACACTCTGGGTCCTACTGGTGCCCCCCGACACCCCACAGTCTGGCACCTGAGGTGGCCGCCTCAGTTCACCTCATGGTAAGGCCAACCCTGCTCCAGAGCCTTGCAGTCCAGATCCTCAGGGGCAGGCAAAGTTCACCGAGCACAACTCAAGGAGGTGGTGTGCAAAAGTAGTTTAACAATGTCTTTTGCATTACTTTCATCCCAGTGCAGCTGTTTCCCCTGCTGTGTCTTAAGAGCAGCCTCAGGACTACTTTAATTCATGCCAATCTTTAACAGCCGCAGGTGCCTTAATGCAACCCCAGATGAGCCTGACATAGGAGCATGCCCAATATGCTCACTTTTTAGCCATGTCCCTTTTCACCCTGCTATGCTGACAGCAGGGAAGGTATGTGATCTACAAACCCTTATATTGGCTCTGTGCCACTGTAGGAGCCCCCTTGCATTTGTCTGAGCCTTCCTGAGGCCACAGTATTGAAACAGTGCAGTGCAAAGTCATTGTATGGCACGAAAGGGTCTGGGCCTCATTCATCTATACATACTCAGGTTACTGGCATTAGTCAAATACTTGACTGTTTGAAAGACTACCGTAGGTTATGTGCAGTATGTAATTTTTCCTTCTGATTGCTGGTTTAGCTTATTCAATCTGTGCATGCAATTTTTATGAGCTGCTAGCTGTTCTTAAAAGATAGTAGCTCCCAGAGCTGTCACTGATTTTGAACTAATTTTTAATATGTTTATTTTTCTACTGCAGGTTCCCCTGGTTATTTTTAAGCGTGAAAAGGAAGTTGCAAGGAAATTGGAATTTGATGGGCTGTACATTACAGAACAGCCTTCAGAAGATGATATTAAAGGGCAGTGGGACAGACTCGTCATCAACACACAGTGAGTGTTTTTACTTTAGCTTTTAGAGCTGTGTACAGAATTTTCTGGAATACACACATTGTATATAGCTAGCTCTCAAGTTTTGCAGAAGAGGATGATGGCAATGGGGTTTAGGCTTCCAGCAAAATAATCTAATAGACTGTAAGCATCTGTAGGAATTGTTGTAGATCATGATTATTAGTCCGTGTTCTGAGGGCCTGAATCTGAAATGACTTTTGTCCTGCAAAAAAAACAAGGCACAATAAAGTTCAAGTTGGTGAGTGTTATATTTACTAACAAGTGTGACTGCAATAGATACTGGGTGAACTGCACTTTGGAACCCTTTAGACTGCCTTGAGTGTACCCCTCAGGTGACAGGCCCAGGTTCCTGCACCTCATTCTGGGAAGAACCACATGGTCCAGCCACTCTGGGACTGGGTCTCTGGACATCAATCCTAATTGTGTTGATGTGACAAGCCAAACTCAATTTGGCACCTGTAAGCCCTTTCGCTCTGGGGACCTGTGATCAGTCAAGTTGACTAAAGCAACTCAGAAACAATGTCTTCCAAACAAAGTATTATTTATTCATTCCCCCAAAGGTACAAAGCATGCAGAACAAAGTGTAGAACCAATAAATGGCATGGGTATTACACATCAATCTTTCCTTGCCAGATTTTTGTAAACTCCCTTCACCCAGCTAATCCCCCTCTCTTGCTGGGAGAAACAGACTGTCCTGCTCCCAGCAGGCTTTCTCTATCTCCCTGTGTTCCCTTGCCAGCCTGTCAGCTGTCGCTGACACTCCCAGGGCCGCCTCTGGCCACTCATTAACCTCCCACCCTTGTCTAGGCCTCGGTGGCTTAGTGGGTTTTTTTTTACCTCTCTCTTCTTGACCTTGGCAAAACAACTATGTCATCGGGGCTGAGGTGTCACCTCTTCACAGCTATAAAACTGGCTATTCTGAGTGCTCTATCGTAGTTTTCTCTTTCCCACTTGGTTGCTTTAACAACCCCTTTTTAGCTAATTCTATAACAAGTAACTCATCGTAAACATATACACAGAGGGAGGTGCAATATTCATGAAACATAAAAGTTATTTCCCAGTTCATCACCGTTGTGCTAACACTGTACCAGGACACAAAACAGTAGAAAAATATTGGGCAAAAACATGCACACAAAATAAAGCTTCTTCAGGTTGGGAAAAAATCCTTAAATTTGACACACACAATGAAGCTAGCTAAAGTCTGCCTTCAGAATGTACTGTACTGCTGTGCAGAGTAAGAAGAGTGAGAAATAGAAACAGATGTTGCTTTCTCAGAATACTTGATTTTCTTGTTATGTTTTTTGAAAAGATAATTAAATGGTTTTAACATAGCAACTTTATTTGCATTGTTTAACTGAATAAGAATAACACTTGAAGACATATACAGTATCTGGAAAACTCAGATATAATAAAATTGTTCAGACATTATTAAAAAGCTACAGAGCTTCCTCTGCTGTGGCCTGCCTCTCTCCAGAACTGAAGAGTAGTTTCTGGCTCTTGTTAGGTTACAGAGTGTTCTATAGTCTGCAGGTCAAGAATGAAAGAAAATAAAAGAAAGGAAGTGGTAGGGAGATACAAGAAAGGGAAAAATATATAAAAGCAGGGAAGAGTGAAGAGAAGAGGTGAGCAAAGGGAAAAATACATTTAAAAAGGGTCCAGAAAGAGGATGACATGGGGGGAAAGGGAAGATAACAGGAAAAAGGAATTGAGAGATATGAAAATAGAAAGATGAATGGTGGTAAACAGAAAGTTAGATACAGTGATGTATCTATTTGTAGTGTGCTGATCATTGTGATACGTAGCCATCAATGGAAGAATTAAAATTCCCTTTGTCATCCAAGTAGGACTCTCTTCTCTGTTCCTTTGTGGGTTTGTTGTGTTATTTTTTTTCAGAGAGAAAGAGAGAGCTTACCTGTTAGTTTATTGCTACCTTTATTGAGGGGAAGGTCTTAGCAAAGAAAGGGCAGTTCTTGAGGTGGTTGGGCCCCTTGTTTCATTATGGGCTTTGAAAATGAGAGCCAAATACTTAAAATGAAATGGGAGCCATGTGCAGCACACAGGGACTTGAAGTAATATATTCCTGTGTGTCATCTCACTCAGAGGACAGGCATTTGAAAATAATACTTAGTCCTGCCTTGAGTGCAGGGGACTGGACTAGATGACCTCTCGAGGTCTCTTCCAGTTCTGTGACTCTATGATTCTGCTATGTAGAACTTATTACAGTAATCCAGCATGGAAGTAACACAGACATAGATCAATAACAGAGTCTTCAGTCTTCTTGCTTGTGAGAGGTGGAAAAGTGTTTCTGTCCACTGCTGCAACTAGTCATCTAAGTGGATGAGGAAGACAAAGTTAGTGGGTAGGTGAAATTATTTCAAAGATCTAGCAGAGGCTCATGGCTGTGACAGTCCCCTCAGTTGAGAACACTAGTCCAAGTACTGTGGCGTAAATGCTCAGATGTTAAGGCACACTTAACCTAGTTTTACACCAGAATTACTCCAAATTGATAAAGAGGCTGGGAACTTGTTTTTATACCACCAGTTAAGAAGAAAACGAAGCCCACTCCTGGTTAACTTGATCACAGAGATCACCCCCTGGGCTAACTCAAAGTTGCAGTGCTGCAATACCTGTTTCCTAGGGCTGTCGGAAGCTGCATTGACATGGCAATTAGTCCAAAATACAGCTTTCTGTCTCCTAAGCATAAAAGTAACTGAGAAAATGTCATGCTAGTGCTCTTCCTAGTATGCTGGTTTCCCCATTGAGTATCATGTCCAGTTCAAGATCTTATTAATAAATTGTGAGGCCAGAGGTGATCATTGTGATCATCTAGTTTGACCTCCTGCATAACACAGGCCAAGGACTTCCTTGAATTTATTTATTTCTGTTTAAAGACTTGCTTGTCTTTTAGAAAAAAACTCCAGTCTTGATTTAAAATTTCCAGTGGAGGATCCACCACAACCCTAATGGGTTGTCCCAAACCTTGTTAAAATTCTGTGCCTTATTTTGAGTCTGAATTTGCCTAGCTTCAGCGTCCAGCTATAAGATCATTTTATATCTCTGTCTGCTAGATCGAAGAGTCCTCTATTATCAAATTACTATTCCCCGTGTAGGTACTTATAAGATACGTCTACAGTGCAATAAAAGATCTGTGGCATGGCTGTGTCTGGCCTGGGTCAGCTGACTTGAGCTCACGGGGCTCAGACTCCGAGGCTATAAAATTGCAGTGTAGACATTTGACCTTGGGCTGGAGCCTGGGCTCTGAGACCTTTCCCCCCTCGTGGGGTTTCAGCACCTGGGCTCCAACCTGAGTCCAAATGTCTACACTACAGTTTTCTAGCTTTACAGCCTGACCCTGTGAGCCCAAGTCAGCTGACCTGGCTCTGAAACTCAGTGCTGCCGATTATTTAATTTTTTTTATCACAAAGTAGACACACCCATAGACTGTGATGGAGTCAACTCAGAACCATCTCTTTGCTAAACTAAATAGATTGATTTCTTCTACTTTTTCACTATAAGACGTGTTTTCCAAATCTTTACTGATTTGTGGCTTTTCACTGAACTCCCATAATCTTTCAGCTTCCTTCTTGAACTGTGAACACCAAAATTGGACAGTGTTCCAGTTGCAGTTCAACCAGTGCCAAATGCAGAAGTAATATTATCTTTCTATTCCTAATTGATATCCCCCTGTTTATACATCCAAGAATTATATTAGCCGTTTTGGCCACATCATCACTCTAGGAGCTCATGTTCAGCTGATTATCCACCATAAGCCTGAAGTCTTTTTCACAGTCATTGCTTCCCATGATAGAGCCCCCATCCTGTAAGTAGAGCTTGCAGGCTTTGTTCCTAGAGGTATGACTTTACCTTTGACCATATTTAAATGCATATCGTTTATTTGCACTGAGCTTACCTGACAATCCAGATTCTCTGAGTTAGTGACCTGTCTTCTTCATTATTTATGACTCCCCCAATCCTTGTGTCATTTTCAGACTTTATCAGTGATAATTTTGTGTTTTATTCCAGGTCATTGATAAAAATGTTAAATAGCACAGGGTCAAGAACCAGTCCCATCTTGGATTGGCATTGATTCTGTCACCCTCCTTTAATCCTGTACTAATCAAGTTCCATATTAGCCATTCCAGTATTTTGCCTGGAATTGATATCAGACTGACAGGTCTATAATTACCTGCTTACCCTTTTTAAATATTGGCACAACATTAGCTTTCCTACAATCCTTTGGAACTTCCTCAGTGTACAAAGACTCATTGAAAATGACCATTAGCAGTCCAGAGAGCTCTTCAGCCAGTTATTCTAAACCTGTTGGATGCAAGCTATCTGGTTCTGCTGACTTAAAAATGTCTAACATTGGTAGTTGCTGTTTAGTATCCTCCTGTGTTACCATTGGAATGGAAAGTATGTCGTCATCATCATCTTATGGTCTGAATACATAATCTGGCTTTTTCCCAAACACAAATCAGAAATATTTATTCAAAACATCTGACTTTTTTAATAATATTATTGACAATTCAACCATTTCCATAGAGCAATGGATCAGTATCATTGTTAGGCTCATTTTTGTTCCTAATATACTTAAACTTCTTATTTTTCTTGCTCTGAACATAAGAACATAAGAATGGCCATACTGAGTCAGACCAAAGGTCCATCTAGCCCAGTATCATGTCTTCCAACAGTGGCCAATGCCAGGTGCCCCAGAAGGAATGAACAGAACAGGTAATCATCAAGTGATCAATCCCCTGTCACCCATTCCCAGCTTTTGATGGTCATTGATTTCTCTGTGTCTTTTTCCTTCCCTTATCAATTTTCTACAATTGCTAGCTTCTAATTTATATTCGTTGCTATCAGTTTACCCCTTTTCCCATTTGTTATATATTGTTTTATTTTCTTATAGTTACTTTTCTTAGTTCTCATCTTTAAGTCTCTTGTGGGGGAAGGATAAACTGCCTAATGGATCACCTCTCCCTCTTCCATTCAACAAATATTGCCATCAGCAGGTACACTGAAGTTGCTGGTATCCAAAACAAGGCTAATCTGATCTAGATACCAGTAATTTTCAGAGAAAAAGTCTAACTGTGAAACTTCCTACTTCAGGTTGACCTTTCTTCCTTCAGAGCATTGCACTCTCATCATTTAACCCAACTCTATCATGAACCAAATTACTTTCCACTCCCAGTAGATTTCCACCCAAAAGAAAAGACATCACATGGCATACAACATCATCAGCAGGTTAGGTGAGCATGCAGCCCTGCACAGTGAATGCTGAAGCTTAAATTCTTGTATTTGTCACCTAGATACTACAGTAATTGACCCTATAAATGCATGTATACATAGACAGACAGAGAACTGAATTGAATATTAATCAAAGATTGCCCACTGATTGACAAGGTGATGTGCTGAGGCCCTAGATTGAGGGGACAGTTATGATTTCTGCTAGATTTACAAAGTGCATTCCTCTTCTGACTTGTATCCTGAATTAGAAGTGATCTATGATATTTGTGGTGAAAAAAATTTCTGTTCCAGATGAAGCAGATGCATTTAGTGTAGCTGTGTTTCATTTACATGTGAAGGATGTCCTTCACTCCTGTTCCCACAGACCATCACTGGCAGAAATCTTGTGACCATACTTACTTCCTCCACTACAAATTCATTCCCTCCTCTCAGTTCTGCCATCTTCCTAGCTAAACAACTCTACTTCTTCAACTTAATTGAATTACATGTCTACAATCCCAGCCACCTTTTTGCTACCTTAGTCTCCTCAGACCCTCCCCTCCGCCACTTCTCTCTCTTCACTGGTTTCTTTCAGGATATCTTAGTTGATGTCTAGCCATGGACAACAGCACTCCTCGTCTGTCACCCCAGCCCATAACCTGGGCATAATCTTTGATTTGGACCTCTCTTTAGGTCCTCACATCCAGGATGTCTGCATCTTGTTGATTCTTTCTGCATAACATATGTAAGATATGGCTTTTCTTATCCATTTACGCAACTGAAACTCTTGTTCAAGCTTTCATCTCACATCTCAGTATTTGCAACAGCCTTTTCTCTGGACTTGACAAATGCAGTCTTGCCCCGCTTATATATGATTTGGCAAGGATAATTCTCTTGTGCTGTTGCATTGGCCATGTCACCCTTCTCTTTGAATCCCTCTACTGGCTCCCCCTTCTCTTTCACATCAAAGAGAAGCTGCTGGTCCTCACTTTTAAGACTCTTTACCATCAATCCTTTACATTCCTGTCATCTGTCATTCAATACTGAAATGTCAGTTCCCACTCTAATCAGACCTCTATTTCCCACTTTTAAAATTTTGAAACAAGCAACTTTGTCCTTTCTCTCATGCTGCCCCTCATGCTTAGGAGAAGATCCTCCTGCCCCCATAAACATCTGCAAAGCTATCTTTTTGTTCAGTGTTTGTACAGTGCCTGATCCATGACTGGGGTGCTATGGTAGTACAAATAATAGATAAAAATAATGATGATAAGTGAGCCCATAGCATATCGCAGTGTTCTCTAATGGCTTAATGTGGATGTTGATGGGGAAAGATCAAGCCTTATAAACTCTACACATTAGACAGGGCGAATGCCACCATCATTTTTATGGCAACATTTTAATTGCCAGCTAGGTACGCTCTGTATTTGATTTAGGTTAACCCTGCAGATATAGGAATTCTACATCACTTTCCAACAATGTTTCTGGAGCCCCTACATAGGAGAACTTAACTGCCTTCAACAGGAATTGCCTGTCTGTGGATTGCAAGACCAGACCAATGTGTGTGTATTTTCTCTCTCTTGTTATTTTTTTATACTTCTCGGTCCACTAATAATCCTCCAAAGTATATTTTCTCCTCTGTCTTTTTCAGATCTTTTCCTAACAACTATTGGGACAAGTTTGTTAAAAGAAAGGTAATGCTTTATATTGTTTTTCAATAGGCTTTATTATTTATTTTCATTTTTTTTAAGTTTATTGGAATTTTGTGCTGATTTTTGTTGTAATAGAAGATGGTACATTTCTCTAAAATATATATATATATATATATATATATATATATATAAAATGCTTATGCACTGTAGATTACAGTGTCTACCATTCTACACTATTTTAAATTTCTTACCCACTTTGTATATGTAGTTACACATTTTTTGCATACAGGTTGGGCAATTAATTTAGAAAATGTGTTCCACATAATTTACAGATCATGATGGTCCCTTACGACCTTAGTCTATAAGTCGATGAGTCTATTTGCCTTTTTAAATAAAAATCAGAAATGTAAGATGCGTGTGAAATTTTGTATGTGTGTATATTACATACACGCAACCGTATGTTTTGTGTGTGTGTACATACATATCTACCTATTTATAGATTATCCATCAACAGATAGATAATATTAAGGAGTTGTGATAGCTGCTTAAATATGGACATTGATGCTAATTTCTTATAAATATTACTGTCAGCCACTTCTCCAGTTCCCACCAAAAAACCCTGATCTTCCTGATAATTTTATAGATCACAATATCCTCACAGGAAAAAAATCTTTCTAAGGAGTTTGATAAAGATCAAAAAAGGAGTTTTAAAGTTGTTGGATCAGTTTCATGTCTGTCACACAGGCTTCATGATGGTGTGACTCCACTGATTTCAGAGAAATAATGTTTTTTATTGAAAATTTATCAGAAATTGACTTTTAAAATATTTCTCACTTTTTTGGCTTGTAATAATTATTACCTTGGCTAAAAAATTATGTTTTGTTAGCCTTGCTGAGGAAGATGCCATTTGTACATTTGAAGGTTGTTGGGAGATAGATAGATAGCAAAAGTCTGCACTAAAGTTGTCTGGGAAGGCTAATCAGGGGCTCATAAATGAAAATGTATTAAAAAGTAGCCAATGGAAAGCTGAGGGGAAAAAGAAAGGATTATGTTTTCAATCAGATTGTAGAATGCCTGGTTTAGTATGCTGGGGTAGAGAAATACTCTGAACAGACGTGTCTTAAAGAGGCAAAATGTGGTGTTAAGGAAGGGTTCTTTGTTTCACACACTTTTCTGCTCCCCAGGATACTGCCTTAATCACAATCATGCAGAGCTGTTTTTATGCATGTACAAAAAAAAAAGACCTTAAAATGCACAAAAAATATCCACCAAGGTCTAAACCACAAATTATTAGGAGACTATACAATACTATTTCTTATTCAGTTATGTGCCTGTAGTCTGTAGTTTTTTCCTTTGGGTATATTTGTGTAAAGGTTAAAAATAAGTAAATCCTGTGCGATAAGAGTGAGAAATAAAGTATTCGGAAGTGATGGGGAACTGGTTACATCCCGTAATTGTTCATGTCCAGCTATTTTAATATTTGCAGCTATTTTGTGAAAGGGGCAGAATCTATGTGAGCATAGACGTAATAATATTTTTGGGTGTTAGCTGGATTTCACTGAAACTCATTTTCAACTGTAAGTCCTGTTAATGAGGTTTTTTGTTTGATACATGTGTATGTATAATACATATTTTGTACACATTATTAAAAGTATATTAAATGTGTTTATATAATTAAACATTGGAGCTGATTGAAAAAATTGTGAACATTTGTGCAAAAATTATTGTCCCCTTTTTGGTTGAAAAAAATTATAAATTAATTGTTTTTGCAACCAGCTGTATAAGCATATTTAGAGTAACTTATTTTAAGATGGAAACAATTATATCTAGTTTAATAAGATGTAAAAAAAAATAATAATGAAAACATTACCATGCTCCCACCCAACTGATTGTATTGAACATTCCTCTAATCTTTAGGTTATGGATAAATATGGGGAGTTCTATGGCCGGGACAGAATCAGTGAGTTACTAGGAATGGACAAGGCTGCTCTGGATTTTAGCGATGCCCGAGAAAAAAAGAAACCAAAGAAAGATAGCTCCTTATCTGCTGTGTAAGTACTTCCTTCTGTTTTTGTGTATAAATTAAAACCAATGATTTGAATTTTGTTATTTAGCTTTGAATGTTGTGGCTGTGCTTCATAGGTGCTGACTCCGTGGGTGCTGTGGGACTGGAGCACCCAGGGAAAAAAATAGCGGGTTCTCAGCACCCACCACCCACAGCTGTTCAGCGCTGCCCCCAATCAGCTGTTTGGCGGCTCAGGGAGGACAGCAGGTGGATGGGGGCCTCGAGAGGTGGGGGCAGAGCGAGAGCGGGGTCGAGGGGCGAGGCTTCAGGCGGAGGGGGGTGGAGCACTCCGAAGGAAAATGAGTCTGCACCTATGCTGTACTTATTCTGTACATGATAAATGTTCTTGATTTTATGATTTAGTGAATGTCATGGACAAACAGAGGTTAGAGAGATACGGTAGACAGAGAAGTCATAGGACAGCAAATTATTTTAGGGCTGTGGATTTATTTTGTTATATTAGTGTTTGAATGCATAATATTGCCATTATTTTAATAAGACCTAATGACAGCAGTGCTGGAAGTTTTATTATCTTCGTTTGATGGTTCCATGCAATATTAATCAGCCAGAAAAAATGGACACTGTGGTACATCATACATTCCGATTTTAAAAACAAGTGAAAAGAAATTACGTGTGGTTAATGCCATGAATCCTGTATAATTTAGAAAATTAGATGTGTAGTCTTAGAAACTTTACTTCATTTGTTTTACGCAATGTAGTTGTAGCCGTGTCAGTCCCAGGATGTTAGAGAGACAAGGTGGGTAAGGTAATATATTGGACCATCTTCTGTTGATGAGAGAGACAAGCTTTTGAGCCACACAGAGCTCTTCTTCTGGTCTGGGAAAGGAACTCCCAGCATACCAGCAAAATGCAAGGTGGAATGAATTGTTTAGCAGAAGTAGTTAGCACATATTGACAGGTTTCAGAGTAACAGCCGTGTTAGTCTGTATTCGCAAAAAGAAAAGGAGTACTTGTAGCACCTTAGAGACTAACCAATTTATTTGAGCATGAGCTTTCGTGAGCTACAGCTCACTTCATCAGATGTATACCGTGGAAACTGCAGCAGACTTTATATACACACAGAGATCATGAAACAATGTTTCATGAAACAAGTCTGCTGCAGTTTCCACGGTATACATCTGATGAAGTGAGCTGTAGCTCACGAAAGCTCATGCTCAAATAAATTGGTTAGTCTCTAAGGTGCTACAAGTACTCCTTTTCTTTTAGCACATATTGTAAGGGACCATTCAAGGTAGAGTGGCCTGTTAACACCTCTGGAGTCATAGGACAAAGAGGGGATTAGTGAGGTTACAGATTGTTATCTTGGTCTGTGGGGATCTTGCTTCTGATGATGAGCTTGGAGAAGTTGGGAGGGGTTGTTTGAAGGCCAGAAATGGGGCAGGGGGTGGTTAGGAAAAATTTCTTTCAGGAGGAGGTCACCATCAAATATAGGTTGTAGTTGTTTGTTGATACCACTAGTAACATGCTCACTTTACCATTTGTCTATCAAAGTTACCTTCTTAGTGGTCATGACATTGGCTAGAAGAGTAAGGTGGGCCCTTATGGCTAACCCACAACTTTGTATTCCATCAGGATAGTTTCATAGTGACTGTACCCTAAGTTCATCCCCAGAGTAGTCTCTGACTTCCACATAAATCAGACTGTACACTTACCTGAATTTTTCCTGAACCTCATATTATCATAGAATCATAGAATATCAGGGTTGGAAGGGACCTCAGGAGGTCATCTAGTCCAACCCCCTGCTCAAAGCAGGATCAATCCCCAACTAAATCATCCCAGCCAGGGCTTTGTCAAACCTGACCTTAAAGACTTCTAAGGAAGGAGATTCCACCACCTCCCTAGGTAACGCATTCCAGTGCTTCACCACCCTCCTAGTGAAAAAGATTTTCCTAATATCCAACCTAAACCTCCCCCACTGCAACTTGAGACCATTACTTCTTGTTCTGTCATCAGCTACCACTGAGAACAGTCTAGATCCATCCTCTTTGGAACCCCCTTTCAGGTAGTTGAAAGCAGCTATCAAATCCCCCCTCATTCTTCTCTTCTGCAGACTAAACAATCCCAGTTCCCTCAGCTTCTCCTCATAAGTCATGTGTTCCAGTCCCCTAATCATTTTTGTTGCCCTCCGCTGGACTCTTTCCAATTTTTCCACATCCTTCTTGTAGTGTGGGGCCCAAAACTGGACACAGTACTCCAGACGAGGCCTCACCAATGTCGAATAGAGGGGAACAATCACGTCCCTCGATCTGCTGGCAATGCCCCTACCTATACATCCCAAAATGCCATTGGCCTTCTTGGCAACAAGGGCACACCGTTGACTCATATCCAGCTTCTCGTTCACTGTAACCCCTAGGTCCTTTTCTGCAGAACTGCTGCCGAGCCATTCGGTCCCTAGTCTGTAGCGGTGCATGGGATTCTTCCGTCCTAAGTGCAGGACTCTGCATTTGTCCTTGTTGAACCTCATCAGATTTCTTTTGGCCCAATCCTCTAATTTGTCTAGGGCTCTCTGTATCCTATCCCTACCCTCCAGTGTATCTACCTCTCCTCCCAGTTTAGTGTCATCTGCAAACTTGCTGAGGGTGCAATCCACACCATCCTCCAGATCGTTTATGAAGATATTGAACAAAACCGGCCTGAGGACCGACCCTTGGGGCACTCCACTTGATACCGGCTGCCAACTAGACATGGAGCCATTGATCACTACCCGTTGAGCGAGACAATCTAGCCAACTTTCTATCCACCTTATAATCCATTCATCCAGCCCATACTTCTTAAACTTTTATTATCAGTAAAGACCAGAGATTCCATTCTCTGGATAACACATTTATTTGAGCATAAGCTTTCGTGAGCTACAGCTCACTTCATCAGATGCTGTAGCTCATGAAAGCTTATGCTCAAATAAATTTGTTAGTCTCTAAGGTGCCACAAGCACTCCTTTTCTTTTTGTGAATACAGACTAACACGGCTGCTACTCTGAAACCTGTCATTCTCTGGATGTATGTTGAGCATTGCTGTTCTGCCTTCAGAGAACAAAACCCTTTAGGAAAAACCTAGACTGTTCATGGACTAGCAGAGCAAAGAATATCAACATGGATTTCAGGCTGTATCTTGCTGTATCTAGTTACCACTTATAGAAACAGAGGAATATAAGATTGGAAGGGACTCCAATAAGTCATCTAGTCCAGTCCCTTTCCAGTGAGGCAGGACTAATATTATCTAGACTGTGCCTGGCAGGTGTTTGTCTAACCCAGTGGTGCCGAAACCGTGGGGAGGAAAGGGGAGGTGGGATAGGCCCCTGCCCCTCCTCTTTCACCCGAGGCCCTGCCCCCCAACCAGGCCAGAAGGAAAGAGCCCCAAGTGGTGGAGAAATGGCCTGAGGGCTGCTCTTGGGCCCCGCAGCCAGGCCAGGTGAAGGGTCCGGGGCACCCCACAGTGCCCCAGGCTCCAGCTTCTGGCCTGGCCAGAGGGTGGAGCCTCAGAGGCCTCAGAGCAGCAGCCAGGCCAAGGTAAGAGCAGCCCAGGGGACCTGGGCCACTGTGGGGTGTCCCAAACCCTCCACCTGCTCTGAGTGGTGCATCCCAGGGGGAGGGTGGGTGGGACATGGGCCTGGGGATGCTTTTGGGCCGCCTGCCCAAGTTGGGTGGATGGTCCAGGGCTCCCCACAGTGGCCCGGGACCCCTGGGTTTCTCTTACCTCACCCGGCTTCTGGCCTGATGGGGGGTAGGGCCACGGGGGAACACGTGGGGCCACAAAAGCGGTGGGGCCTCATGCACCCTCCATTTTTATGAAGGATACGGGGCTCCTGATTTAACCTGTTTTTATAAACCTGCCATGATGGAGATTCCACAGCCTCCCTATGTAATTTGTTCTAGTGCTTAATTACCCATATAGTTAGAAAGTTTTTTCTAATGTCTAGCCTAAATCTCCCTTGCAGCAATTTAAGTCTATTCCTTCTTGTACTGTTCTCAGAGGTTAAGGAGAACAATTTATCACCCTGATCTTTATAACAACCTCTTACGTACTTGAAGACTTTTATCATGTTCTCTCCTCAGTCTTCTCTTCTCCAGACTAAACAAACCCAGTTTTTTCAGTCTTTTCTCATAGGTCATGTTTTCTCGACCTTTAATCATTTTTATTGCTCTCCTCTGGAATTTGTCCTGTTTGTCCACATCTTTGCTGAAGTGTGGTGCTGAGAACAGAACACAATATTCCAGCTGAGGCCTTATCAGTGCTCGGTAGAGTGGATGAATTTCTTCTTGTGTTTTTCTTATAACACTCCTGCCAATACATCCCAGAGGATTGCTTTTTTTTTGCAATGGTATTACATTGTTGACCTACCTTTGGTTTCTGATCCACTATAACCTCCAGGTTCTCTTCGGTAGTACTCTTCCCTTGGCAATCATTTCTCATTTTCTGTTTGTGCAATTGATTTTTCCTGTAACCTATCACTTACATCAGCTTTTGTACCAGGTGACTGGGGAATAACTAATGTGATGCCAATTTTAAAAAAGGTTTCAGAGGTGATCCCGGCAGTTACAGGAGGTAAGCCCAAATTCAGTATCAGGCAAATTGGTTGAAACCATAGTAAAGAACAGCTGTCCAACATATAGATGAACACGATTTGTCGGGGAACAGTCAACGTGGCTTTTGTAAAAGGAAATCATGCCTCACCAATCTATTAAAATTCTTTGAGGGGTCAACAAACACGTGGAAAAAGGTGATCCAGTGGCTACAGTGTACTTAGACTTCCAGAAAGCCTTTGACAAGGTCCCTTACCATAGGCTCTTAGGGAAAATAAGCAGTCATGGGATAAGAAGGAAAGACCTCTCATGGATCAATAACTGGTTAAATGATAGGAAACAAAGAGTAGGAATAAATAGCCAGTTTTCAGAATGGAGAGAGATAAATAGTGGTGTCCCCAGGGGTCTGTACTAGGCCCACTGCTGTTCAACATATTCATAAGTG